AGGGGCTGATGGGGGTCGGGCTTCGGGGCGCTGGGCCAGAGGACGCTGAGGGAGGTGGTGAGATCTGGGGGCCCTGGCCTCCCCACCCCCACCCGGGGCCGGGTCCTGGGCGGCGATCTCCCCGTAGCCATGACCTTGGGGCCGCGGGGACCCTGCGGGCTGGGGGCAGCGTCTTCAGTGCCAGGGGCTGATGGGGGTCGGGCTTCGGGGCGCTGGGCCAGAGGACGCTGAGGGAGGTGGTGAGATCTGGGGGCCCTGGCCTCCCCACCCCCACCCGTGTTCCCACCCCAGGGTGGCTTCTGTCCTCTTTGCCTCCCCCAGCCGCCTGTCCCCGAGGAGCAGGGTGGGTTTCTCCACTGACCTCCGTGATGGGACGGGGCTGTGACCCAGGGCCCTGACCGGAGGGGAGGGGGGAGGGAGGGTGCCCCCTATATCCCCACCGGGCCGAGGGCATCTCCACCTGGCACTTGGTGGGCTTGGCTGGACAGGGTCCTCCTTCCTCAGGCTGGAACAGGGACCCCCACCTCCTGGCCGCTGTCTGCCCCTGTGAGAGTCTGGGGGGGTGGCACGTAGAGCTATTCTGGGTCCCTAATCTGGGCAGCGCATCTCCGTCGGGGCTCTGGCCCAGCCTGCCGGGCAGGGATGAGGGGAAGATGGCGCCGTCCCTGCCTGAGGAGGGGAGTGGGGAGCAGTGGCCATCTCTCCCCGGTGGCAGCGGGTGGGGGTGGGGCGCCGTGTCCCTGGCCCTGCCGCCGGGGAGGGGAGCGAGCGTGGAGGACAGGGCCCTGGAGCACTGGGCAGGTGACTCATCACCCCGCTTTGCTGGTCACGGACGTACCCAGCCTGGCACTGCGTGGTCCTTCCAAATGGTGGCTAACCCCTTCCCAAGGAGCGGCCCGCAGGCTCCCAACGCCCAGTTATTTACAGCAGATGGGGCTGCTTGGGCTCAAGTGTGGGGTGGCGGCAGTGTACAGCCTCTACTTGCCCTGGCCAGGCCCAGCTGTGGGTGGGGGCCCTTCCCTCCCCACCAAACATGGGGGCTTGGTTTGTGGGCAGGGATGTGTGCCCAGCCTGTGCCAGGACAGTCTCTGCTGGTCTCTCCCCCCCGGGCTCCCCATCACCTGTCTCCCCCCCAATGCTGGCACCACAGAATCACTGCAGCCCCCCCCTCGCCCTGAGCCAGAGCACCCCGGGTCCCGCCAGCCCCTCACACTCCCAGCAGAATGGGCAAGGAGAAGACCCACATCAACATCGTGGTCATTGGCCACGTGGACTCTGGCAAGTCCACCACCACCGGCCACCTCATCTACAAGTGCGGGGGCATCGACAAAAGGACCATCGAGAAGTTCGAGAAGGAGGCAGCTGAGGTGAGCTCCGGGGGCTCTGGTCTTGGCCCCCTGAGAAGGAACCCCCAACTCCTGTGGTGGCCAGGCTTGGCATCTCCCAGCCCCAGGACATGTGGCTCAGGAGACCTCCAGGGCAGGAGGGACCCCCGCTGTGGGACACTCAGGCCTCAGAGGGTCCAGTGGGGCAGCCTCTCTTGCGGAGAGCTTGGTGGGGGAGGGGTGGCCATCGAGCTGCCGGACTTGCCCTGTGGTGAGGGAGGTGACCTGGGAGGGTCCACAGAAGGCTCTGGAACTCTGCCACATTGAGCTGGGGCTGGAGGGCCCTACAGCCTTGCCCCCTTCCCCCCAGGGCCAAGGCTGGGGCTGGAGGTGGTGCTGCCCTCACTTGTCCCAGGGCCCTGCCAGGACGCACGCTGCTATTAATAGCTGATTGATGGGCAGCCGGCCCGTCTGCTCCATTTTCTTGTGCTGGGCTGTGGAGGGCTGCTGTCCAGTGCACCCCTGGGGTGGGGGTCCTGGATGAGGCGGCCCTCTGGCTGACCTTTTGAAGCGGTTCCTCTTTGGTGGTTGAGACAGTGGTGGGGAGTGGCCATGAGTCAGGGTCTGCTCTCTGGTCCCCCTCCCTTGCCCAGGGCTCTGGGGAGAAGCCCACTTCTGGGAGGGCCTGTGGGAGCTCTCACCTGGATGATGAAGGTGGAGGCCAGGGCCTGGGGAGGGGGCACTCGCTGTCCTGGGCTGAGTCTCTGCCCTGGTGAGGTGGGTGCTCTGAGCTGCACCCCTGAGTTTGGGCTGCATCACCCTTTACCTAGCCTCGTCGGGAGAAGGCGGGGGTTTCAGAGGGCCGCTGGTTCAGGCCCCAGCTGGGTCCCGTCTGGGTCCCCTCCAGGCTGGGCAGCCTCTTGGAGGGCAAGAGTCCAGTCTGTGCAAGGGGCTGTGCCCAGCTGGGTAGTGACCATCGCTGTTGCCCTGACTGCAGCCCGTCCCCTCCTGTGGGGGTCTCACTGGCTGAGGCCCCCCAGCTTCCCGTGACCGGCAGAGCGAGGAAGGGGAGGAGAAGCCTCAGGGGGGTGGGGAGGCTGGAGCAGCGGGAAGGAGCGGTGCAGCCCGGGCCTCCTCCTGACCTCATTCCGTTTTCCCTTCTCCTCACCTTAAAATAAAATAACACCGAGGGTTATTTATCCGACAGCCCCAAACACGGTGGTATTATTGGCCTCTGGCTGAGGAAGGGATCTGGGGGCGTCCGCAGCTTCAGATAAAGGGGAGCCCTGGCGGGGGAGGGGTTTATCCCATCTGGAGGCTTCGCTGGGAGAGCGGGCGACTCCCAGGCCCTCGCGCCACCTGCTGGTGGACGTGCGTAGCCGCACCCATTCCGGAGCCGGTGCAGAGGCCGGTCATGGGGGGCAGGGTCTGGGTGTGGGGTCCAGACGGAGGGGCCGGCGTTCCAGGACCCCGGCGGGGAGCAAGCGGGTGCTGGAGCCCATCTCCCGCCTCCCGCGGCCACTCTGCTGTGACAAGCAGCTCGCACCGCCAGGGACTCCCCGGGTCCCAGGTCTCGCCCTCACCTGTGACCCTCACCCGTGACCCTCACCTGCTCCAGATGGGGAAGGGATCCTTCAAGTATGCCTGGGTGCTGGACAAGCTGAAGGCGGAGCGTGAGCGCGGCATCACCATCGACATCTCCCTCTGGAAGTTTGAGACCACCAAGTACTACATCACCATCATCGATGCCCCCGGCCACCGTGACTTCATCAAGAACATGATCACAGGCACATCCCAGGTGAGCAGGGCACAGCAGGTGGGGCTGGGGGAGAGGCCGCTGCACCCCTTCAAGGGACACTGGGGGCCCCTGGGATCACTGGGGTGGTGGGGTCTCCTGTGCTTCCTGTGAGGGCAGGGGACCCCTCACCTGGGCCACCCCTCACCCGGTCTGGGTTAGAGCCCCTCTAAGAAGGAATCCAGGGCTCTGGCATCTGACCCAGTGCCTGTGAGGACACCCAGCCAGTGTCAGAGTCCCCAGACAGAGGGGGGCAGGTGTGGACATGGACACACCTTCATGCACAGAGGGGCTAGAGGCCAGGATGGGGACAGTGAGCAGTGGGCAGAGGTGCCACCAGCCAGGCCTGGACTGTATGACATTTCAGGGCACTCACAGAGATGCACGGGCACCCCAGACACAGCATCCTGCAGACAGCAGGACACATGCCACCACCTCCAAACTGCTTTGATAACTGTGACCTCAATCTGTCCTCAAGTGAGGAACAGGACCAGAGAGGCTGAGTGACTTGTCCAGGGACACACAGCCCACTGGTGGTGGAGCCAGGGTTGAACCTCGGTCCCCTGACCCATGGCCTGGCGATGAGCCCCCCACACTGCCCTTGAAGTGGGGACCCCCATGTCTCCCTCCCCAAGGCCCCAGTGGGCTGCTCAGGCCCCAGCCCACCGCCTGGAGAGGCCTGTGTCCCCTGCTGGGCAGGTGGGGCGGGGCTCACTGTGTCCCCCGCTGGGCAGGCGGACTGCGCAGTGCTGATCGTGGCGGCGGGCGTGGGTGAGTTCGAGGCGGGCATCTCCAAGAATGGGCAGACGCGGGAGCATGCCCTGCTGGCCTACACGCTGGGTGTGAAGCAGCTTATCGTGGGCGTGAACAAAATGGACTCCACGGAGCCGGCCTACAGCGAGAAGCGCTATGATGAGATTGTCAAGGAAGTCAGCGCCTACATCAAGAAGATCGGCTACAACCCGGCCACCGTGCCCTTCGTGCCCATCTCCGGCTGGCATGGCGACAACATGCTGGAGCCCTCCCCCAACGTGAGTGGCGGCTAGGGCGGGGCGGGCCACACGGGCTGACTGGACCCCCTGCCCCAGAGCGAGGCACCGGCAGGTGGCAGGGGGAGGTGGAGGGCCTGTCCCAGGGAAATGCAAGTTCCCCACGAAACCTGCTGGGTTTCCCTAACTGGCTCAAGGCCCGGTGGGGAGCCCCATCCCCCCTCAGCACCAGGCTTTGCTCCTACACTCAGCCTCCCACACGGCTGGCCAGGGCCCGGGTCCATCCTTGATGTCAACACAGCAGGGGCAGTGGCCTCCAGCACGGCCCATGTGCCTGGTCTCCAGAGCCCTGCCATGGGGGTGGTCGGTTTCATCTCTGCCAGGCCATCGTCCTGGCTCTGGAAAACATGCAGGGGCTGCGGGCTGGGCCGTGGGGGCCTCCCCGGCTGCCTCCCCTGGGGTCTTGGAGCAGGGTTTGGCTTTGGGAAGTGTGCATGCTTCTGGGCTGGCTGGGAGGGCTAAGGGTTGGCTCTTGGCTGGTCAATTGGGAGCTCAGCGTGCGAATAGTCTGTGGCCCAGGGACTCTGCCTTGGCTGGAGGTGACGCGCAGAGACACTTGCAGAACCTGAGACTGTGTTCCAAGGGTTCTCCAAGCCAGAGGAGCCACCAGAATGGCTGCCACTGGGCTCTGCCAGCAGTGTAGCTGCCAACAGTGAGGGTACAGGTGTGGAGTCTAGAGACAGCGGGGAGACAGACCAGCAGCACTGAGCCCAGCGCTGAGGTCTGGGGACAGAGCTGAGAGGGGCTTCCCCAGCCCCGCCTCCATCTCATGAGGCTGGGTGTTGTTTACCTGTGATGGCATTTTCCTCACAGGGTATCATGTGGCGAACACCATTCTCCGCCTCTCCAGGGAGGCCTCCAGCCATCAGGGACCCCACACTCCCCTCTGGCCTGAGCTGCTAGGTGGCCCATGCTTATACAGGCCCTGGGGGGCTGGGGCACAGTGCTGCCGGCTCCCTCCCCTGCTCCCTGTTTGTGGCAGGTGGCCCAGAGGGAGGCTTCGTGGGGTGGGAGTGGGGGCCGCACCAGGAGAAGCCCCGGACAGGGCTGTGCCAAGCTTGGAGGCAGCACGGTGTCCAGGAGCTAGGGTGGGGCGAGGCTCCCCCTCCAGCTCTGTCCCTGGCCTGGCCCTTGTCTAGACTCGGCATCCTCCTAGTCAAGTCACCTGCCCTGCCTAGAGCTGATGGTCAGGGGCCTGGGGCCTTCGGGGACTTGGGGTTTGTTCACAGTATCAGCAACTCCTGAGCAGCCTGGGCTGGGAAGGGTGCTTTACCTCTTTGTCCTCCTCCTTTTAAGAGGGATCTCCTTCCCAGGGTCCCTGTGATGCTGGGGCTATGGGCTGGGGAGGAGCAGGTTGGGGAAATTCCTCATCTTAAAGGGCATGAGGCAAGTTTAGCCTGAACAGCAGGATTCCTGGAGGCACCCTGGGGAGGCCTGAGGGTGGGGAGGCCACCAATGTCTCTGTAATGGACTGATTTTCTCCCTTCGGTCCAGATGCCGTGGTTCAAGGGCTGGAAGGTGGAGCGTAAGGAGGGCAACGCAAGCGGCGTGTCCCTGCTGGAGGCCCTGGACACCATTCTGCCCCCCACGCGCCCCACGGACAAGCCCCTGCGCCTGCCACTGCAGGACGTGTACAAGATCGGCGGTGAGCAAGGGCGCCGTGCTGGAGCTCCTGCCCAGCCAGTTCCGCCTGCCCTAGACCAGGGGTCCCTATGAGGCATCTCAAGACTGGGCTGTCTCCAATCTCTCCCCTTACCACACACTTTCTGGGGAAGAGTCCATCCCACATCCATCCATCCATCCACCCACCTCCTCACCCATCCATCCTCTGTCCGTCCATCCGTCCGTCCATCCATCCATCCATCCACCC